CAAAAACAAATAAATAAAAATTTAAAGGAAAATATTGTATTTGTGAGATCCACTCACCATATTGTTCCTTTGCTGTCACTGCTGTGTAACATTCCATATGTGACTGTTGCGTAACTTGTTTTTAGTTTGGGCTATTAGAAATGCTGCTGCTGTGGAGATTCTCAAATCCGTCTTTTGATGAACATCCACATGCATTTCTGTTGTGTTCTGGGAGCAGAGCTACTGGGTCATAGGATATCTGAATGTTTACCTTCTAGATGGCTTGTAAGAATCACTCCTAGCAATGGAAGCAAAAACTATCATGTAGCACACAGCCAGTAAGTCGGTTTTCCACCTTATCCAAAGATTTGCTGCTAATGAGACTCAATGCCTGGGCTTCCAGTACTTGTCAGCTCTGTATCTTCTCCAGCTCACCCTCTCTGATGGGTAGCCACCAAAAAAAGACAACATACAAACCCACGCCCGCCAGAGCCTGCTTGCAAAGAAAGCCAGGTAGCAGGTGTCCCTTGTGAGGTGGTGAATTACATCTCTATGACCAGATGAAGCCCAGTTACCGGGAACTTGCAAGCCTATGCGAAGAAATTTTTTTGGGCTTTGAAGAATACCCACTCCGTGGTGAGGCTTTCCACGGGCAGAGCTATGAAATGAATCTGTCAACAGATAGTTTAGTTCACCTAGGCTCTTTTCCAAAATTTTAAGCACCTCGTAGATGTTCCATAAAAAGAACCATAAAAGTTTAGGGCAAACGTTCCCTGTAATAGACTTTGCAAAAGAAATTTGTCTTTTAAGAAACTTTTCAGCCAACAGGAAACTTCTCCAAAGCAAGCACTTAAATACTATTTACAAAAGGTAGTTTGGAATGTCAACTTAAGGTTTAGAGAAAGGGTGGAGCTCAGAGAACAGGGTTTCTGAAAGTGCAGTTTATAGATCAGCATCAGTCTCACCAAGGAGCTTGTTTAAAAATGTTGATTCCAGGCCCACGCCAGAATCAGAATCTCTTGGGTCTAAAACTTTTCATTTTAACAAATTGACAGATGGATCTGAGGCACCAGCTCCATGGCCTGTGTCGCATCATCCACTGCAGAAGGTCTGTGCTTTGAGGGCCAGGATTCTCAATATGGAAATATAAAATGATCCTATCGATTACCCATAAGCCTCTCTGCTGGTCCTGGGGCAAGGTCCAATTTCTTGTTTACAAAACTCTTCAGATCCCGGCCTCAAGTGGGCCTGCTGGCTTTTGCTTTTTCCTGGGACATCACTGGCTGAATTGGATTGTCCACACAATTTTGCCTGTGTTGGCAATAGTGTCTTTCGGTTGCCCCTCTTGTTTGAGACAGCCTTCTGTGGCTTTCTACATGTCACTCTGAACGCTCTTTGAAAACCTCCTTTGTCCTCATCAGCCGTCCACTTCAGAAGTGGTGGTGTTATTTTGAGGCAGGGTTTGGGATGCCATATAAAATAAAGCTACGATTGTATTAAAAACCAGGAGAGGATAAGCAGCTAACACAAACATGAATAAGGCCTAAGCACATGCTGTACCAGGGAGAGAAAGAGAGAATGCTTTGTTGCGACTCTGCTTTGTTTCTGAGGTCTGGGTGCTCATGTAAAGCCTAGATAGACTTGCTGGTAAGGTTTACAGGAGTCTGGCTTGGCAAACCTAAAAAACTCCGGGTTCCAAGACCCTGTCTCATGAAAGGTGCCAGCCTAAGTGCCCAAGATTCCCTTTGGGTGGTGGAAGGCTCCATCCTGTTTGGTTGGATTTATGGCATCTACCACGTGCCCCCACATACATAGAATATCCAGTGTATTCTTCCTCAGAACCCAGCCCTAGAGATCCAAGCTTCCCTCCATAAACTCCAACAAACACTAGATTCTTCTGTTCTGATATAAAAACCACATCTCCTCCTTCCCACCATGTTGCTCTGAAAACTTTTAGGAGGAGCATAGTCACATACTCTAGGACACTTAACGTTATTTTAGTGACGGTTTCCCACCACAAGGAATACTGAACTACAACAGGAAGTGGTGAGTATGAATAGGCAGTTCTGGGCTAAATTTGAATGGTGGAAACTTTATACCAGAATGTTTTCCATGGCAGTTCACTTTCTTTAGTTTTGATGACTACCCACCGGATCACTGTGGCCAGATGCCATTGACCGACCAGGAAATTGGAAAATAAATAAATAAACTCTTTCATACGGCCTTTTAGGAACTCTGGTTTTCTGGGTTTTATTTTTTGTTTTTGGTAGGAGCACCGAAAAATGGTACTCTGACCCAAACTAAGCAAACACAGGAGTTTGGGGTGCAGCCTGTTCAGATATGAAAACTCTGTAATTATTATTTTATAACAATAGTAGAGAAAACCGGATAGAGGGGGAAAGGAAGGAAAGGAACATTTAGGGAATGTTTATTCCACACAAGCATTTTGCTAGGTACGTTACATGCAGAATATGCTATTTCACAGCCGCCACCAAGGTGATGCTCCCTCCTTCTTTTTTAGGTTAGGAAACAGGTTCGTTAAGGTAGGTAAGTTGATCATGGTCACCCACTTGTAGTGACTAAGCAGGGATCCAAACGTGGCTCTCTTTTCACTCTTCCCTGGTGACCTGAGGAGCTAAGTGGAGTCTTCATAAAATAAGATCCCTATTATGTTAAGGTGGCCTGGTTGTTAAAATAAATAACGCTATTCTGTAAAAACCACCGATATTGTACATCTATAGAACATTCATTTCTAGTTATATCCATGCTACTTATTTTGATGTTAATAAGAACAATAGGGTCTGTAGTCATAAGTGGCCCTTGAGGGGTGCCTGGGTGGCTTAGTCGGTTAAGCGTCCGACTTTCGCTTGGGTCATGATCTCGCGGTTCGCGGGTTCGAGCCCTGCGTCGGGCTCTGTGCTGACTGCCGGCTCAGAGCCTGGAGCCTGTTTCAGTCTGTGACTCCCTCTCTCTCTGACCCTCCCCTGCTCATGCTGACTCTCTCTCTCTCCTAGAAATAATAAAACATTAAAAAAAAAAAGTGGCCCTTGAATATAAAAGTATTAATTTTACCCATCTCCAGGAGGACCAGACATCGGCATTCCTTTGAGGTAGACAAGATGCAGAGTATAAAATTGTTCCCAGTGCCCTCTGCAACGTCTTGCCAAAAGGCAGACCGATACAGGGAGAGAAAAGCTGATCACTTGAGGGCTAAGGCCCCACTAACTATATCAGGGGAAATAAGGTCTTTGAAGCTCAGCGAGTCTCTGAGTGATATTTTAGCTCAGCTTCAACTCTCTGCATTCTCCTCCTGCTGAAGTATCACTGGTTTCTCCATAAAGGCGAGGCGGAGACCACAGTGAATCCCAACTTCAAGATCTGTCAGGTGAGGGGCGCCTGGGTGGCTCAGTCGGTTGAGCATCTGACTCTTGATTTCCGCTCAGGTCATGATCTCAATTTCGGGTTTGGAGCCGTTAGGCTCTGCGCTGACAGTGGATGGAGCCTGCTTGGGTTTCTCTCTCTCCCTCTCCCTGCCCCTTCCCCACTTGCGCGCTTGTGCTCTTCCGCTCAAAATAAATAAGCTTAAAAAATAAAATAAAATCTTAAAAAAATGGGTCAGGTGAACCTAGACAAACCTGAGGAGGTTGGAAGTACATAGGAAAAAAATACTCCCTACCCATTACTTTGCTAGAAGCCATCTATTCTTGCGCAGACTTGGGCCCCCTACTGACCTGGCCCTAAGCAAAGAAAATGCAGAGACCGGTAAGGTGGTTAAAGTTGGTGCACTTTCACCCCAAAGAGCTCAAGTAACGCCTTGACTATCTCCACTCTACTGGCAAATAAAAACGAGAATTCAGTTCAAAGGCCTAGAAAGGAAGCACAAACGCATGAAAATTCGGTTCTCTCAAAAGGCAGTTGGGTCAAGGTATGAGTTTGGGTCCTACATCCTCTGTAGCACTCCCTCTCTTTTTTTTTAATGTTTTATTTATTTCTGAGAGACAGAGAGAGAGAGAGAGACAGCGTGAGCAGGGGAGGGTCAGAGAGAGAGAGGGAGACAGAGAATCCAAAACCAGCTCCAGGCTCTGAGTTGGCTATCAGCACAGAGCCCGACGCGGGGCTCGAACCCACGAACCGTGAGATCTTGACCTGAGCCAAAGTCGGACGCTTAACCGACTGAGCCACCCAGGCGCCCCATCTCTTTCTGACGCTCACTCCTCTGAGGTTTAGCACGACGGCCTGGGGATCCCTCGGCGGCGCTCGGGAAGAACCCTCACGCGGCCTCCCTGAATTCCCTTCTAGGTTTCCCACCGCGTGCCCTCCAGCTCCTCTGCGCCCCCCAGCCTTTTATGCCATTCGTATACCATGCGGCGTAATTCCTCCCATTTTGATGATCTTCGAGGCCAGGCGATCCCGACTCCCGTGCGGGCCCCAGAGCCCCCCCAGCGTCCTGCGGCGGGCGCCTCGGTAAACGCGGGCGGGATGGAACAAGATGCTCCAACGTCTTTTCCCACCTCTGATGGCCGTTAAACATTTGTCCGGGGACAGCGCGCACCCTCCACGGTTCAGCCTCTGGGAGGCGAGGGCGGCCACGCGGAGGACTGCGGCCGAGGGCTCAGGGCGCACTTCCTGCGGGGCGGCGGGCGGGGGCGGAGCTTGGGCGCGCCTCCTCCTCTCCCCCCTCCTCCCCCTCCTCCCGCTCCTCTCCCCCCTCCGCCCCCTCCGCCTCCCCGCTCCCCCGCCCGGGCGGCCGAGGCGCCGCGGGGGCGGGGCCGCGAGCGGGCTGGGCGGCGTGGCGAGCGGGCTGGGCGCCGCCGGCCAAGGTGCGAGCGAACCGCGGCGGGCTCGGGCGCGGAGCGGGGACGCGCGGCGCGGAGCAGCCCAGCCCAGCACAGCCGGGCCCGGCGCCTCGCGGGTGGAGACGAGCCGGCGGGCGGCGGCGGGGGCTCTCAGCCCGGCGGGTACAGGGCCTCCGACCGACCGCGGCCAAGCGGGGCCTGGGCGCGGGCGCCGGGGGAGCCCGCCGCGGCGGGCACAGGAGGAAGCGGCGGCGGCGCGTCCCGAGCCGTGCGCGCCATGTCAGGCGGGCCCCCCAAGGGCCTGCCGTCCACCGGGCCCCACTCCCTGCTCGACATGCCGCACCCGCTGGCCGGCTCCAGCAGCGAGGAGGCCGTGGGCGGCGACAGCACGCCCAGCCCGGACCTGCTGATGGCCCGCAGCTTCGGCGACAAGGTGGGGCGCGCGGGGCTGGGGACCCGGTGGCGCGTTTCGCTCTCGCGGGGGGATGGAGGACCCGGAGCTCTCCCTCCCGGCACCCGGCCGCGCCCACCCTGGCGCCCCTGCCCGGGGGCGGGCGTGCCCTCGCCCCCCAGAGCCTTCGGAAAAAGCGTCCCTCCCTGCCGCCCCCGCGGGGCCGTAGTCGCAGCGCGAGGGGTCGGAGGGGGCCGGGCATGCCCGGCCGTGACGGGTCGCGAGCGCCGGTGACAGCTGGCGGGGAGGGGTCCCGGCCGCGTGGTGCGGCCGGCGGCGGGTGTGCGGTGCCCGGCGCGTGTGCCCTGGGATGGGGTGCCGAGCTCCTCCCGGTGCATCCGCGAAGGCTGCGCTGCCGGGTGACTTGTAGCTCCCCTACTTTCCTGGCCCTGCAACGGAGCAAGAGTTAATGGTTTTCCCTGGTGGGACCGGCGGCGTTGGTCTTGCCGCCAGAGTCGTCTTCCTCACGCCCCGTCATGTGGGGAGATCTTTGTTTAGGTTTGCTGTGTGCCCCGAGGAGTCACCTGACTCAGACCCCAGCCGGCGGGTGGGGAGAGGCTCGCTGTGGTTTTCGGTCTGGGGCTCTTTCTTTCCCGTCTCCCGGCCTTCCACACTGGTTAGCTTTGGCAGAGGCCCGTTTTTGTGGTTGAGGGAAGCAAAGCTCGCCCTTTGACCTTCTTTGTGCAGAAGAAGGCTCCTGATTTTCTTAGAGCCGCGTAATAGTCCTCCTGCTGCTTTGAGAGACAGCAGAGTACAGCGAAGGGTGAGGGGCGGCCTCCCCCGGCCCCGTGGCCATTTCAGCAGTGACCAGGACTTGAGCTGTGATCCTGTCAGCGCTGCTGTGGCCACCTACTAACTGAGATGTGGAAATTAGAATTGTTCTCGACACTTGTGACTAGAACTCCCTCCTCTCGTAGAATAACTGAATGAATTCTTCCTTGTCTCGATATTAAATGCAGTCAGGGGACCTGAGGCTTTCCCCTGTAGATGGGACGGCCTGTGGTACCATAAAAATGAGTATTAGTGCACCGAGCACTCAAAATGGCTATTGGAGGGGCGTTTGATGTACCTTCCTGAAAGAGTTTATGAAAGCCAGGAGTGGGGAGTAGAGCATTAGGAGCAAAAAGACTTAAAAAGCTAATGAAACCAATGGGTTGAGCAGCTTCAGGTGTCTGGGGGGGGGGGGGGGGGCTCTTTGTGATTATTTCCCTTTATTTTATAGATGATAAACTATATGCAGAGTTATGTTGCTTGGAAATACCTTGCCCATCTTTGACGTTCAATAAGTGTGGAATGCCTGAATGAATAATTAGTTGCTTTCTTAGAGACACATTGTTCCTGTATGCATGCATGTAGGATATGAGGGGAAGTAAAACCCTCTGATTTCCTTCTCAGGATAGTGAATGAATTATCTGTTGCCGTGTAACAAGTTACTCCAGAATTTAGCACCGCAAATAGTGCGCGTGGGTCAATAGTGTCATGTCATCCAGGAGCAGTTTAGCTGGGTGGTTCTGACTCAGGTCTCTTTTGAGGTTGCAGTCAAGGTGTTGACCAGGGCCGTGGTCATCTGAAGATTGGGTTGGGGGAGGATCAGCTTCCAAACTCATTCACTTGGCTGTTGACAGGCCTTAGTTCCTCTTTAGAGGGCGGCTTGACATGGCAGCTAGTTTTCGCCTAGAGCAAGTGGTCCGAGAGAGCAAGAGAACCCGAGACTCAAGCTACCCTCTTGTGTAATCTAATCTTGGAAGTGACATAGTTCTGCTCTATTGTATTGATCACAATGCTAGTACAAAGTGGGAAGAGAGTATACATACCAGGAGGTGGGGGTGCCTGGGTGGCTCGGTTGGTTGAGCATCTGACTAGGTTTTGGCTCAGGTCATGATCACAGGGTCGTGAGATCAAGTCCCGCATCGGGCTCTGTGCTGAGCGTGGAGCCTGCTTGGGATTCTCTTTCTGCTTCTGCCTCTGTCTTGACACCACTGTGCGCACGCCTCACATTCTCTCTTTCTACCCTTCTCTCACATAAAAATAAATAAATAAAATCTTTTAAAATATATATCAGAAGGCAGGGATTATCAGAGCTGTTGTGAATGCTGACTGATACCCATGGCTATTTTATTTATTTATTTGGAAGGTTTTAGAAATTTATTATCTTTTCGTAGTAATTGCTATACTCAATGTAGGGCTTGAACTCATGACCTTGAGATGAAGAGTCACATGACTCTTTTTACTGAGGCAGCTAGGTGCCCCTACTGATGGCTGTTTTAAACATTTGCTTAGTCAGGCCGCCTGAGTGGCTCAGTCGGTTAAGCGTCCAACTTCAGCTCAGGTCATGATCTCACAGTTCGTGGGTTTGAGCCCCGCATTGGACTCTGTGCTGACACCTCAGAGCCTGGAGCCTGTTTCAGATTCTGTGTCTCCCTCTCTCTCTGCCCTTCCCCTACTCATGCTCTGTCCCTCTCTCTCTCTCTCTCAAAATTAAATAAAACAAAAAAAATTTGCTTAGTGACCCACTCTTGGAGGATAACTGTCTCAGAAATCTGGGCATTTTACTAATAAATACTGGGAGGACAGATGCCCTGTACCACCAAGGTCTTGTTGGTGGGCAGGAAGTCAGGCCCAAGTCTAATTACTGCTGGCTTCCAGTTCTATGAGAAAGACAGTCTTGAAGCCATTATTATTAATTATTGAACATTTAATAAGTCTTCTTAGAGCTGTAAGAAGCATCAAAATGACCTCACTCCCAAGGGCCTGATTTATAGTAAGCCACTTCTCCTTGGAGGCTAAGTAATGTAATTTCTTTCTCTGACTGGAAGTCACATTTTCCTTGAATCTTGGCGTGCATGTATGTTCTGGAGAAATTTCTGTAGAGAGAAGCTGGCATGCACCAGAGAGGAGTCAGTGGAAGGGAGCCTTCTCTGCCCTGCTTTCTCCTGCACAGGCAGCATGTGGGTCATTGGAGGGCAGGTAGGAAAGCAGAGTGCTGTGATCTGTCTTTGAAAAGAAACCTCTTTTCTTGCCTTTTTGGACAGTGCATTGTGACCCCGGATGCCTGGTTCAGAGTCAGTGCTGGGACTGGGGAACGAGGGTTTGACAGGCTGCGCATGGCACAGAGTTATTGTATTATGTGGAGCAGAATTGCTTTCTCTGGGCCCAGGACGTCGCCAAGCACAGGGAAGCCTTGTGTCTCGGTCCAGCAGGCACTTCTGAGTGACGTCTGGGATGTTTGCTTGAGAAGGAAACAACGACCACATATGATGGCCTTTTTGTCCTCTGCCTTCTACAGTCATCCAAACCATGGAGTTACGGGAGAATCCTTCCTATCTTCCCAGGGTTGTGAGCGCGAATTCTTTCCATGGCAGCTGAACTCACCAGGCCTTCTATCACTGCATCCTTCATCTCCACCTGAGATGTAAATAAACCACTTGGCCTGCCTCTCTTTTTTACTTTCATCTGCAAACCACTCTGGGCTACCTCTTCCCTGACTCAGCCTCCAACTCCTGTGTGCCTCCCAGAACGTAACACCAAGCCTGCCCAAGCCCCGGCTGTGGTTAACACCCCTTCCCACATCCTCAGCCTCTTCACTGAACTCTTCTGCCTACTTCCTGCCCTCCTCGGCTACCGCTTCTCCCAAAGTCTTCAAAATGGAGCTGTATTCCACTTATATCTGGCTCAGGAGATGGAGGTCAGTGTCCTTTCTCTGCACTGCCTTTTATAAACCACGCTCTGCTCCCTGGAGGCTCATGTCCTTTTATTTGTTCATTCACATATTTGAGGGCCTGCTACGAGACAGGCGCTGTTCCAGGAACTTGAGATGAGTCAACCAGTAAGGACCGCTGCCCTCATGGGGTACATTTGTGAGTATATACTGTGTTAAATGAAAAATGCTATGGGAGGGAGGAAAAAGTAGGATGAGAGGATTCAGGATCATTGGCTTTTGGAGGGGAATTTGGATAGGCTTTACTGAGAACTTGAGCTCTGAGTAGAGACCCGGAGGAGGTGAGGGATGGAGTTAGCGAGTGGAGTGGAGGAGTGTCCTTCAAGGTGGAAGGAACAGCCAAAGCAAAGTCTTGAAGGCATCTGCCTAGCGTGTCCTGGAATAGCCCAGAAGCCAGTGTGGTTTGGACAGAGTGAGCAGTGGAGGGTTCTTGGCCGACAGCAGAGAGGGGAAAGGTCCAGATTGTGTAGGGCCTCATAGGTCACCCTGAGAACCTTGGCCATGACTCTTGAGTGCCACTGCAGTGTCTTCAGCAGAAGGAAGGATATGATTGACTTATGTGTTGTAAAGGCTCACAGAGGCTGTTGAATTGAGAATCCTTTATTTGGCTATTCCACTGAATTCACTTCCTTTTAGTTAAAATTACATAAACCAAGTGCAAACTGGTTGAAGAAAAAAAAAAGTCTCCTGGCTTATGTTTTTGAAAAGCCCCAGGTATTTTGGCTTCAGGCGTGGCTGGAACTAGGTATTCAAATGATATTGGGAATCTGTCACTCTCCATCTCTTGGCTCTGCTTTCTTGTGTGTTAGTTTTATTCTCAAGATAGTGAAGGGATACGTTCTACAAATAAGCTTCACAACTTCAGCAGAAAGGGAGCACCTCTTTCCTGATAGCTCCAGCAAAAGCCCTGGGCTGGTGTCCCATGGGCCCAAATTGGGTCAAGTGCAGAAACCAAGCTCTGTAACTCTGATTGCCCAGACCTGCACTAAGTCCTTCTCTTTGGAGAGTGGAGAAGGGAAGTCTTTGGTGGTTCTGTTTGTTTGAACTGTGAAATGTACATACAAAGTATATAAAATGTATTCATGTAGTTTGGACAATAAAACATATCTATAGTTTAAAGAACAATAAAAACTGATGTTCCTATCCCCCAGATTAAGAGAATATTACTAATCTTTTATTTTATTCTTATTTACTTAAACATGTATTTATTTTTGAGAGACAGAGCATGTGTGGGAGAGGAGCAGAGAGAGAGGGAGACACAGAA